CCCCATGGCTACGGCCTTGCATATGTCAGTTATATCTCTAACATTTATTTCAACCCTGTATGTTATGAAATAAAAATTCTGTCTTATTGATTAGAAAAAAATGTTTCTATACGATGACGAAATCCACGTACACAATTTTGTTCTGTCCATTTTATGACTAAGTTATAAATCCACATTATTAAGAAAATAATTAATAAAGTAATAGCACTAACTATATCGATATATGTATATGGATATATATACATAAATACAATAAAAATGATTACAAATACAAAATGCCATAATGATATTAATGGGTTTATTACATTTCCTTCATTGCATATGTTCAGAGAAGTAATCAAAACATTTTTAAATTCATCTTCAAATTTAATACCTGAAAATATAAAAATGAAATTTAAATATTTTCTAACAAATATAAAAGATTTTCTTACTGGAATTCTTTGTAATATTTCTTTCAGTACTTGATGTATTCGCTGATATTTCAAATACTGCTTCAATTGGTTCATGATCTGAGTAACTAAAATTTTGTCCAGGAACGCGATGTGGTAATGAATGTCTATGTTCATTTACAACCACCTAAATATTTTGTATAACTTTTTATTTATCAATTTAGAATTTTTTTTTTTTTATTGTAGTATTTTACGTATATTTTTATTGTATCTATATAATTTCAAATTTGTGAATAGTTTAAAGTTCAACATAAGAACAATGTAAGCATTCTATAMAATTGTAATATYAGATTGTTCAATTTCATTACAATTTTTATTTTTAATGATACCAGTTATATTAACCATATTTGTATATTATTAGACATTTTAAACCTATATTTAATCATGTTGATTCAAGTTGTAACAAGTTAAATTCTAAACAACACACTCAATCATAACACGTTTTAGTGTGTTACATAGTATATTAGTATATTACATTACTGAAGTTACACAAAAAAATTAACAATTTTAATTTTCTATACTATATTTATCTTTCATATTTTCATATTCATATTCATGGGTACAAATGGATAATTAATAAAAAATAAACTTACTAAATTCTTTTCATTTAATTTGTACAGTATATAATCAATACGATCATTTATGTTATTAGCATCTTTGTAAGAATTTTGAGGATGATTGAAAGTATACTCAATACTATTATTTAAACACTGAAACGTAATAATGTATAATTATTATAATATTATCAGTAAAAATTCAAAAAAGTAATAACTAATTTAAATCAATTTTTTAAAATTATTATTGTACAGTAAACTCCCAATTATCTGAAGAATCCAAAGATATTAGTGCTGTAGCAAACATGGTTAGCCCAAGACATTATTCCCGCTATTAAACATTTTTAATTAATAATATGAAGCCTACCACCTACACACGCAACTATGACTTTATAAATAAATATTTGTTTAACTAGAAGTTTTTATTATATTTTAATTAATATATATTTTCACTAAAAATTCCTTGTTTTAGCCATCTAACTAGGCCAATTTGCAACACTAATTTTAGTAATGACAGTTTTGTTTAACATAAAATTACATAAGTTTGTACTGAGCCATTTACAAGTGTTTATTAATCACTGATTTACCCATTGTGATATCTCTCGAAATAATGGTGGTATGGAAATTTTGATTTTGTAATAAGAATCACAGGGAACAACAATAAATTATTCATATTTTAATTTATTTTAATGTTATGGTAAAAAAGTTTAAAAAAAATATTTTTTTTATTTAATTATTTTCTAAAAAATTGACTATAACCATTTTGTAGTTTATTTTTC